TTACTAAACATATAATTATTTGTTTTTAAAAAAAGAAAAGAAAAGAAAAAAAGAAGAAGCTAAACTTAATATAAATAAAGAATTTAACCCTTTTATTTTTTTCTTATATATATATATATATATATATATATATATTTAAAGATGCTTTGCTAATGGTTGCATTCACTTTTGGTTTGTAATATTCCTCTTCTAACTTCCAAAATACATGCATCACATAATTGTATGTGTCTGGTATATGTATATTTGCATAACCAATGAACACTGAACAATCTGAGTGGTGTAAAATTGTCGCTATTAATTGAAAATAATATTTGAAAGCAAAACCTTGTTTGCTTTAATACTAAGATAAAGACTAAATATCTAAAAGTATATGCAATTAGAATCACATTTTAGTTTTTATTTTTATTTTTCAATCATAGAAATGAATACCTTATTCCTACTTTTTTTTTATATATATACAAATTGTGCCTCATAATATGACCAATATCTAAAACCATGCAAAACAAAAAATAAATATAAAAATTAATACACTAACTTTGATAGGTCATTTTACATTAGAGTAACAACGTAACATTGTTTTTTTATTTATAAATTTTACATCGTTTAAGTTATTGTTTACATGACCTAACTAAAAGTCGCTAATCGTTCACTAATTTTGCAATTAATCATATTTGATATTCAAATTTTTGAACTCTCCAATTTACTTAAAGTAACAAATGTCCAATACATACAAACTATAGTACATTTTTTTTTTTTACCATACATTATAAATTTATAATCCTTACTTTGGATAATATTCATAAAATCAAAGGAGGAAGGCACCTATCAAATGCCAATGAAAAGGGATGAGGTGGGGCACACTAAGATAAATATACCTTTGTTTAATGCTCCTTGTGGGGTAAGGGATTTTGATATTTGTTTGAAAGAGACAATTTTCTAGTGGAAAATGAATTCCACACTCCAGTCTTTTTCAATCTCATTTCAAAGGAAAAGAATTTCCCTCTTGCCAAACATAATCAAGAAAACAACTTCCACTTTAAGTGATTCCCTCGTCCATATGAATTCATGTTGAAAGCGAATCCCAAAGAATTTTCATTGTCATCACAACCCCTTCCACTTGCAACTCTTTCTTTACACGGAAACTAATGAAACTTTTTTAATACAATCACTAATTATTACCATCACTATTATTTAAATGGTAAAGTCAATTGCATCCTTAATGTGCATACAGAGTGAATGATAAATTATTATATAGTTTCGAAATCATTAATTCTGATCAATTTTGATACATAGCCAAAAAAAAAAATTAAAATAAAACCAACATCAATTAATCGGGACAATGTAATAATATCACGAGAGTGTATATCGAGTGACCCACCTTGAATTATTTGATGAACACCAAACAAGCCCTAGATCCTAAATTTGCCCCTAAAACCTCCGTGACAATGAGATGAGACATGTTACTAATCAATGTGGTCCACCAAGAAAGCAAAAGTCCAACAAGAGGATAGGGTTACGTTCAATATATTGGTATTGGTCCTATTGGATAATAGAGATAACGATGGTTCGTACGAGAACAATAACTCTTGTCTTAAAATAAAATTTACTTTTCAAGCACTGTATTTGAACACTGACCGGTCATTTAGTAGTAGTATTTAATAATGAACACTAGTATTATTAGTCTATTACAACTTCTGTCTTACATGGAACCTTTTTGGTCTCAAGCTACAAGTTTAGGGCACCCCTAACCCACAGCATATTATACCCGTCTAGTCCAATCCCCCATGACCACTTCAATGTGGGATGTTTAGAGATTGCCTTGGACACTGAAGGGCACTGCAGCATCCACTGGGGTGCCCCTGTGTGTGTGTGTGTGTGTGAGAGAGAGAGAGAGAGAGAGAGTGTTGCCATTTACGATATAAGATATTCATATTTTAAAGCATAGTTTTTGTTCTATATGTTGCAATTTGTTGACCACAGAATGCCACATCAGAAAACAGATAAAATTTTGTATAGGAGGTCATCAGATCCTAGGTGTTCAACATTGCAGCTGTTTGACCAACTGAAAGAATATAGTAACAATTTCTAGTCAACAAACAAGGGCAGCAAAGAAGCCTTAAACTCTCCTGGGCCACCTGAGGACAGCAAAGAAGCCTTAAACTCTCCTGGGCCACCTGAGGTCAACAATGCCACCTGAGGTCAACAATCCACAATATAGAAGGCCCAAACACTAGCACACTCGCTATGAGCGTTCAACTGACTCTCATTTTTTCTTCAAGATAAATAGGGAAAAGAGGGACTCGAACACGAGTACATTTGCATAGACAACTAAACACTCAACTAATTAAGTCATTGGATAATGCCCAAATATAGATTAAGTTACCGAAGCACAATTTGGGATATTGCACAGCACAAGACTCTCATTGGTGTAGAGTTTGGGGAGAGTCGAGCGTATTCAGTCTAACATCCGCATGCGAAGAGAGTATTTCATGTTTCAAATTAACTCATGATATCTAAGTCAAGATGGATGGTGCAGTGCACGAGACTCTCATTAGTGTAGGGTTTAGGGAGACTTAAACGTATGTAGTCTTACCTTTACATGTGTGCGAAGAGGGTATTTCTTGTTTAGAACTCATGACCTAAGTTACGTGGATAGTGTGCATAAGACTCCTGTTGGTGTAGGATTTGGGGAGAATCAAGTGTATGTAGTCTTGCTTCTGCATGCGAATAGGGTATTTCTTATTTCAAACTTTCGATCTCTAAACTATAATAGAATAATCTTATCATTGCGCCAAATCCACCCTCCCTTAAGCACAAAATATATATTCAAATACTTCTCTCAAACGAGCCATGTTTACCTTTATAAGCAAATGCAACTAGGCGTAGTTTGGTGTGATGGAATGGAACGGTTTATGATTTCCTTTTTCTTGTTTGGTGTGCCACATTAAAAGTGGAATGTTCATTCTTTAGAATGCTCCATTCTAGCTTTTAGATGGAATGACGATTCCTTTTCTGGACTTGTGGAATGACCATTCCATTCCCACTAAATTAAAATAATAAAATGCAAGGACAAAAATACCCATACACATTATTTTCATACAGATTTGGTAGACTCTCTCTCCATCTCTCCTCTCTCACTATGTGACCGTACACCCTCTCTCTCTCTTCACACTACGCTATATATCATGGAATATATATATATATATATATATATATATATATATATATATCGCTCTCTATTTTGCAGTTTGTTATTTGCAATTTGTTCTATACACATTATATATATATATATATATATATATATATAATATGTATATCATATATTTTCCACATGCCAATATCTATAAATATATACCTGTAATCAAACTTCTATGCTAAATACAAAACTTTTTTTTTTTTTTTTGGAAATTTCAAGCAACTAAAATATAAAGAGGAAATACAAAACTTCTTATCTTTTGTTATTGTAGGCCAAGTATGATATTTTGGTTTGATTATTTCTATTTTATTGACAAGTAGGTAATACAAATGTGTAAATTTATTTCAAGTAGTAGTAATTCTTTTAAACCTATATTAAATCATTTTTAACAAATATTTATTACATCTTTGATACTATGGCAAGTAGGTGATACACTTGTCTTGCATTTATAAGGTAATTTTTTGAATATATATACACACACACACACATTACAAATTATAAGATAATTGTATTTTTTTGCATTTTATAAAAATGCATTAATTGGTATAAGTTAGTTTTATTATATAATAAGAATATGTCATTCATTTTTAATATAACTAATATATTACAAGTAAGGGTATTTTGGATAAACTAATTTATAAATCATTCCGTTTCGGTTTTTTATTTGATCTAACCAAATACAGGAATGAGAATAGTTATTCCATTCTCTGTTTACATTCAAAACAGTGGAATAGAATAATCATTTCATTTCTACATCATTCTCATTTCATTCCCACTTGCATTCCATTCTGGCGCACTAAACACAATTGGTCAAAAATGACATTCTATTTATTTGCTAACTTTATATTTTTACCAACTCTTCGCAGGGTAATCACAATTTTAAACAAGTTTAATATAAGAGTGGAAATTAAATAATTCAGAGTAAGGGTAGTTTATCTTAAAATTAAATAAACAAATCAGTTTACAATTTAAATCAAGAAAGTTAAACCATAGAACATCATATTTTGTTGATGTCTTTTCATTTTAATTCGACTTTTAAACTAAACTCATATAGGAGAAACCATTAATGACAAATATATAAAATTACAGTTACTCTTTAACGTCATCCAACATATAAAAGACCAATGTAACTATGCTGGCCAATATGAGTATAATTTATCAAAAAATGAAAGGAAAAAAAAGTTGATAGACTTAATTTCTATAACGTCACACATTTCGGTTTGGCCTGATTTTGAAATTAAATTGAACTAATGGTACTAGAAGAATTTAATAATATCGAACCAAACCAAACTGATTTACTTCAATTTAATTTGACTATTTTATTTTTATGTATATAAATATAAAAATTATCACCAACGGTCAAGTTTTTTTGAACTTCAAATTAGAATCTAATTGTTATCAATGATTTTTTAATTTTAGAATCAAGATCATTCTATCACAAAACTAAATCAAATTGTACAGTGGATTTACCGGTTTTAATGATTTTTTTATGGAAAAGGCCAATGTAATTATGCTATATTTAGAATAGGTGGGTGTAATTAACAGAAAAAGGGGTTAGGTTTGAAAGGCATCAGCTTCCTAATATTATTTAAATTTATTACTAAAAGAAATTAGAAAAGAAAGAAAATTATTGTCATTGACTGCGTGTTAACCTCACATAGGTTAAAGGTCCCTGAACTTACTTGCCACGTCATCCGGACCCACACAATTGCTGAACTGGCATGATCGAGAGCGTCCATCATCACCTATCTCTCACCAACCGTGTCTGTCTAAAACCGTACGTCACTATCTCATCTCTCTCTCTAACCGCATCCGTTTCTCTCTCTTAACAGAGAGTGACCTGGAGTCGAGTTTGAAAGGTTGGCACAGAAGAGCTTCGAAGAGCCTTTGCATTTCAAAACCCAAAATTTAACACTCAGAAAAGAAAAAAAAACACAAACCCATTTCGTCTATTTCGTTTTTTTCGATTCATTGATACCCTTTTTTCTCTCCAGATTATTAGATCCTTCGAACCCATTTACTGTTTCTTTCGTTCAATCTCTCAGACTCAACTCATCATTCTTTAATGGCATTTTTTTGATCGTCGGACGCTTTGCTAGGTGAGCATAAAAATGCCCCAAAATTTGCATATCTATGTATGTGTGTGTATATTCAATTTATTTGCACTGTAGATGAATGTGAAGCGATTGTTAAATCTTTGGAAATGTCCCCGTCTTTGGTGTGAAGATCCTATTTTGGGTAGATTTTTAGAATCAGAATAGTGGATCTTTTGATGGGTTCAACGATCTGTGTGAGTATATTCGTTTTGGTTTTGTTGGCCTGTTCTTCTTCAATTTGTTTAGTTTGATTCTTACTTCAGATTCTATATGAAGTGATTGGTTGTTGCCTTGACTGCTTCTGGGTTGGTGATTTTGCTGAAGGTTTTGTTTGGCTGCAGAGAAAAGTGAGGAAAATGAGAGAGAATATGATTCTATATGAGGTTTTGTTTGTTTTGTTTTGTTTGTCTCTTATTTGATGTTTTTATTATTATTATAAATTTTGAAGAGTAAAAACCTCATTTCTAAACCAAATAATTCGTTGGGTTTTATTGAGGCATGCTTTGCTTTCTTGATTTAAAGAAAAAGTAAAATCAAATATTGAAAATTTTGGTTTTTAACTAGTTGAAAATTTTCCTATTATCAATGAAATAATCACGAATGAGTTGCTCTCACTTTTCTGTGACCGTGTCATGAAATAATAATTTCCCAGCATTTGTAACATCCATTTTTTCCTAATACCGTATGTTTATAATTATGGAACAGTTCCAATGATTTTTTTTTTTTTTTTTTCCTCTTTTCTTTTCTTTATAGTGTTAGTAAATGGATTAAAGGGTTTTCACATGTCAGAGTTTAGAAGGTGGTTATGTTTATGCCCTCTTTGGTTCAAGAAATAACATGGGAAAAGAAAGAAATTTATTGGGTATGCTTCATAAATGAACCTAAAATTGCAGGGATTGGCTTTCCTTTAGTTTCTTTCAAACCCAACTAATCCTTTTAGGTTTAGATTTTCTTCAGAAGTTTGTTGGCTGAATTATTTTTGAATTCCCTTACTTTCTAAGTTAGTAGTCCTATGTGTCACCTCCCTTTTAATAATTTGCAGTGTGATGGATGCTGATAAAATTATACCAGCTTTTGTGAATGGAACAGTCCGTGAAAATGGTATTAGCGGACAACTTCCTGTTTCTGGAGAGGAAGATACTGTTTTGGACAAAGTCAATGGGGTCCTTAGAAGTGGCACAGAGAATGTGGGGCTGAAAGGGAATTCAGAAACTGTTGTCAGGTTGGAAGATTGTGGAATCATTAGCTCATCTACTGAAGAAGTCACGGAGGGATCAACTGCACATATAAAGAGCAATGATTTGAGTGTTTCCAAGGTAGGAGGAGCTTTATATCTTTTTTTGGTTCATAACTTAATCAATTTTGAGTTTAGACCCACCCATATGTCCATCATATTTCTAGGAATTTGGAGTAAAAGAATTGGATGTTTCAAAGTTTCCCAAATCACAAAAGGGTCAAGGCAAGGCCAAGAGTGAAATTCCGTTGAGCCACAAACATGCTGCGAGCACGCGGGTGAAAAAGAGCAAAGATGGAAAAGAAGTTGAGATAACTGCTGTTTCGAATGGAAAATCTGCTTCTAATTCATGCCCAAAGCAGTCTTTTGCCCCAAGAGCAAAGAACAGTTCATTAAATGATGGGCAGGTTGTTGACAGCAGTTCAAAACCAGCAGCATCTCTAATTAATGCTCATCCTTCCAAGGTAAAAATTGATATTGCCTTTGTTTTCTTTTATGGCTAGCATAGTCATATATAGATGTGCAGGTGCATATTATCTTTCTTTTGTTCTTTGATTACCATCACCGCTCTTTCTTATTTATCTTTGTAATTCTGTATTGGTTTTTAGGAGCAATTCAGAAAGTCTGATGCAGAATTGTCTACCGTGAATGTGACACAGTCTGAAGGCCTTATGTATGTTCTTCTTGCACTTATGATTACTATTACTTGCCTCCCATCCCATGGTGCTATACATTTGACTGTTAGCTCCAATATCTATAATTTGTATGAGAGAGTACATTTCTCTGTTTTTTATACTATATAAGCATATCTATTTCAACATTTTTTTCCCGGCAGTTTGTGAATTATAGTTTCCTGCTACAGGGATAAGACAAAATTGAAGCCATTGCAGAAGGCCCCCCTAAATAAAGCTGAAGAAAGCACACAATCGTCTTTGTATCCTTTACTACTTTTTGTGAAGCATGGACATGGACACTGGAAACTGATATGGAAAGACGAAAATTCTTGAAAAACAGTAATAACATATGGATATGGCAAGGACACACTAAATTATATTATATTAATGTAGATATTTATAAAAAAAGTAAAATATATGTTTCTATTATAAATTTAAAATAATAAGTATTTGTCATGTTATAGATTGTTACTGACATTTTCTTATAAAAGAAAAAAAACTAAAAGTTGAGAGGTATATAGCATGGAAAAATTGTAAATTAATTTTTTTTAAAACTATTATACTATGATATTATACTTGGAAAGATATATGTGAAAAGGTTATATTTCAATGTTCTAGACTCATTAAATATGTGCTAAAACTATTTGAGAAGTATTGGACAAGTGGCCAAAGTATTTGAAAAGTACTGGATATGCGTCAGGAAAACCAATTATTTTCAAATTTTGGAGATGTTTAGAAAGTGTCATACACGTATCAGCAAGTATCCGAGGAGTGTCGACAGGAACAAAGCTAGAAAATTATGTCGGGGGTGGCCTTGAGCAACAAGAATATAATTTTTTTTCAAACTATGATATTGAATAAAAGAGCATAACATCAATTGATATTTTTATTGAGTACATATAAAATTATCCTCGATGAGTTTTCATATTTTGAAAATGCCGTATGATAGCATCATTATCTATTTACCAAATATCTCAAAAATGCCATCTCTATAGTGGCAGATACCAGAGAGAGAGAGAGTTGGTTACCATGGATGTAGGGCCATAGAGAGTGAGAAAATGAGAGAGTCAACTACTTTTAATTTCTTTAAGACCCAAAAAATATCAGTGGGACGAGTATATAGTGGAGTATTTTCAAAAATTAAGCGAGTGGCAGTTTTTAGATTTTAACAAAAACTATAGGTTGTAGTGTAAAGAAAAGAAATTCCAGTGGGGGAGGACGCCCCCACTTGGCTATTGGTAGATCCGTGCCTTAGTGTCGGTATCTGACACGGACACAATACTGGTATGTGCTCCTAATAAAAGTATATGTGCTTTATCGACTACTTCTACTATTATTATTTGACTATTAATACTCCTCTTCTTTTGTGGGAGCGGAAGTGGTGGGTTTTTGAATCTTGCTTGCCTATATGACACGAAAGGTTAACTCAGCTCATTGATATTTTATGAGTTCCTTGGTTTCTCCTTAACTACTTACAGAAGCCTCGCTGCAGGAGATGCTAAACCCCGCAGAGTGGGTACACTTCCATCCTATGGTTTCAGTTTTAGGTGTAATGAAAGAGCTGAGAAAAGAAAAGAGGTTAGTGTTTCTTTTGAGTCATCAACTTTTTTTTTTTGATAAATGTTTCTTTTGAGTCATCATCAACTCTTATATGGTTCCATCCAACAGAATTTATACCATGAACTTGAGACAATTCAATTTATTTTGTTTTGAGCAGTTTTACTCTAAGCTTGAGGAAAAGATACATGCGAAAGAAGTAGAGAAGACCACCTTGCAAACCAAAACCAAGGTGTCAATAGTTTAAAAGCTTTTGGCAGGATCAATAAAATGGTCAGCGTTTTGTCCCTACATTTGTTTCTTATCAGTGGCCTTTTCATTTGTCAAACAGGAAACTCAAGAAGCTGAGATTAAATTGTTGAGAAAGAGCTTGACCTTCAAAGCTGCACCAATGCCAAGCTTCTATCAGGAACCTCCACCTCCTAAAGTAGAGTTAAAGAAGGTAGCTTTATTTTTACTATCACACATGTTAACAAGAAAAAAAAAATTGTATTTCTGTTCTTTTCATCACATTTTTCATTTCAGTCTTGTTACCTGCCTGCCACATCTCCCTCTGCCAAGTGAAAGATAGTTATTTTGTGTCTCCTGGCCTCTCTAGCATGTGTAGTTGGGTTTCTTTTTACCATTTTTTCCATAATAATTACAGTAGTGTTGATTGTTTATCCTGCCCAACACAAAACTGATATTGGGTAAGTTGAAAATTGTAGTTTCTTTATTTATTTGGTAAGTGACAATTTCAGTAGTAATTTATTGACAATCCTTCTATAAAAACATGTTTTGTTCCTGCCTTTGAATGAATTTGTGGTACTGTTGAAATCATTTAAACACTAGTAAGACTAGCTTCATTTTTTTTTTTTTCATAAATTTGTTCTTATGGTTTGTGATAGTATAAAACCTAAACAAGTGTAAAGCTATATACTTGTGTCCGTGGCCCCAAGGTTAGAGGAGTTGTTGTGGCTGCCAACACGAACGTGGTTGTAGTGTAATAAATAGGGTGTAACATGGGTTACTAAATGGTGCCAGTTGTTGCGGTTGTGAAATTTTTTGATCGCACAGACCTTGGCCTAAGTTTCACCGTTTTGCCACCTTCAACTCTAGAATCTAATAAATATGGGCTCTAATAAGTTCTAATGGACTTTGTTGAATATTTGGAGGTGATTTAATATGAGTGACAGGCAAAACACACTAACACACAATTTAGAAACACAGAGAAACAAGTCACAAGAGAAACAGAATTCACATGTCCGTCCATAAACCAATTAAAGTTTCTCATATATGTCAAAAAGTAAAATAAAATAAAAGTTAGTAGTTGAACTAACACCTACTTGATTGGGACATCCTCACCAGAATGTCCTATCAGAAAATTTGGAGATCAGAAGCTCCAGAGCATGACCCACAGATAACTTTTACAGATCTAACATCAATGTTATCAAATACTATTTTTATGTTAGATCTAAGTGAAAACAAAAAATAATCCAAAATGTTGAAATACTCGCTGATTATTTGAATTATTGAAAGGCTTTGATTCCAGACTAGACTCAAAACTTTGTGAAACTTGAGATTTGGAAGTTAGTTCTAGCCCTTAGATTGTGTTGGAGGGAACTGGTGTTTCTGTCCCAAAACAGAAAGAAGGGGCGAGGCTGGGGGGATAGTGTTTTATAACCCAGGTTCCAAACTGTTTTTATGGTTCCGTCTTGGCCAATATTATGACATATCAGCTGTTGTGGCTGTATCGACGGATACATCACTGTGGTGGTGGTTGAATTGTGTTGTTTATCATGAGAGACAGAGAGAAAAAGAGAACTTGTTCTATATCACACTCACACATATACAAACCTAATAAGCCTATATAGGCTTATATAAGGGATACAAGTTACCTAAATAACACAAGGGCCCTACTAACATAATGTAATTACATAATGGCCCAACATATATATATAACATTCTAACACTCCTCCTCAAGCTGGAGAATATATATCAAATAATCCCAGCTTGGAACAGATAGTTCTTAACCGGTTAGGACCCAATACTTTGGTAAACATATCAGCTAATTGATCTTCAGACTTTACGAATGGAGTAGAGATGCTCCCACGCAATATCTTTTCTCGAATGAAGTGACAATCAACTTCAATATGTTTAGTCCTCTCATGAAACACAGGATTTGAGGCAATGTGAACTGCTGCTTGTTTATCACAGAACAATGGAGTAGGAGCTTCAACTGTCAACCCAAGTTCTTTTAGAAAATGTTGTATCCAGGTCAACTCACTAGTAGTATGGGCCATTGCCCTATACTCAGCTTCAGCACTAGATCGAGCTACCACCGTTTGCTTTTTACTTCGCCATGTAACAAGATTTCCTCCTACAAATGTGTAGTAGCCTGTAGTAGATCTCCTATCTGAAGGAGAACCAGCCCAGTCGGCATCTGTAAAACCTTCCACTCTGAGATGACCATTTGATTTATATAGTAACCCAACACCTGGAGCTTGCTTGAGATATCGGATAATCCGAAGAACAACAATCCAATATGGCATTCTAGGAGCTCCCATGAACTGACTTACAACACTAATTGCATATGAAATATCAGGTCGAGTGATAGTGAGATAAATTAATTTCCCAATAAGACGACGAAATCTGTCCGGATCATTAAATAGATCACCCTCATCAGACACAAGTTTTGTATTCGAATCCATAGGAGCATCAACCGGGCGACCACCTAAAATACCTGTTTCTTCTAATAAATCCAACACATATTTTCGTTGGGATAAACTTTTACCTTTCTTGGATCTAGCAACTTCAATACCCAAGAAATACCTAAGTTTACCCAAGTCTTTAGTGTGGAATCGATATTACAGAAACAACTTCAATTTAGCAATCCCTTCAGAATCATCACCTGTGATCACAATATCATCTACATATACCACAAGAAAGATGAAGCCAACTTTAGTGCGCTGGTGAAATACCGAATGGTCAGTCTGACATCTGTTAAGACCAAATTTTAATGCCGCCTCAGAGAATTTTCCAAACCAAGCCCATGGAGATTGTTTCAATCCATATAAGGCCTTTTTAAGGCGACAAATAGTGTGAAGATACTCCCCCTGAGCAACAATCCTAGGTGGTTGCTCTATAAACCTCTTCGGCTAAGTCATCATGCAAAAAAGCATTTTTAACGTCTAACTGAAACAGTGGCCAATGTCTATTAGCAGCAAGAGAAATCAAAACACGAATAGAAGAAATCTTAGCAACAGGGACAAATGTCTCATCATAGTCAATACCATAAGTCTGGGTATAACCTTTGGCAACAAGACGAGCTTTTAAATGCTCAACGGACCCATCTGGAAGATACTTCACAGTGTATACCCAGCGACAACCAACTGGTTTGACACCTGGAGGTAATGGAACAAGATTCCACGTGCCATTTTGATGCAAAGCATCCATTTCATCTTGCATTGCTTTCCTCCAGCTCGAATCAGACAAAGCATCCTGCACAGTCTTAGGAACAAATGTAGTAGACAATTGAGAGGAGAAACATGAGAAGGATGGCGATAAGGAATTATAAGAGACATAATGAGCAATGGGATGATTAGTGACACACGAGCGAGTACCTTTACGAAGTGCAATAGGCAATGAATTTGACACAGTGGACTGTGTTGGATCCAAAGACTCTGAAGACGATGGAGGAGGCACGACAACAGATGGCTTTGGTCTTCGTGTGTACACCTGTAATGGGGCAGGCAAAGGAGATCTAGGTTGAAGAGAAAGTGAGGGAAGTGGAATTGCAGGACGAGGCGACTCAGGAGTAATATCAAGAATTGAATCACTATCTGAAATATATGGGACGGACTCACAAAAGGTCACATCCGCGCTAATAAAGTACCGTTGAGAAACAGGATTATAGCAGCGATAACCTTTATGGGAACGAGAGTATCCAAGAAATACACATTTTGTGGCACATGGATCAAGTTTATCAAAACCAGGACCAAGATTGTGGACATAACATACACATCCAAAAACTCTAGGAGTAAGAGAAAACGAAGGAGAATCAGGAAATAATATAAAATGTGGAGATTTGCCATCTAATACAGATGACGGCATATGGTTAATTAGATGACAGGCAGTAAGAACAGCATCACCCCAAAACCGTTTAGGCATGCGCATATGAAACAAAAGAGCACGGGTTACTTCTAATAGGTGTCGATTCTTACGTTCTGCAACTCCATTTTGTTGAGGAGTATAAACACATGAATTTTGATGAAGAATTCCTTTATCACTAAGATATGTATCAAAGGGTGTTGAAGAATATTCCTTAGCATTATCAGAACGTAAAATACGAATTGGACAGCCAAACTGAGTTTTGATTTCTTTTCGAAATTTTTGAAAAATTAAAAATAACTCAGAACGATCTTTCATCAAAAACAACCAAGTCAGGCGAGAATAATCATCCACAAATGTCACAAAATAATGAAATTTATTGATTGAAGAATGCTTTATTGGACCCCATACATCTGAATGAATCAAATGAAAAGGACTAGAGACACGATTATTAACCCTAGACTTGAAAGTCACGCAATGGTGCTTACTAAGTTGACAAACTTCACATGACAAGAATTTCAAATTAGTAAGACTAGGAACTTGACGCTGCAAAACTTGAAGTGACGGGTGACCAAGACGATAGTGCCACTGGAATGGAGACAGAGAAGACTGAAGAAGCACAGGATAAGGTGCCACATCAAAGTAATATAAGCCACCAACTTCATACCCCGTACCAATCATCTTCTTCGTCTTGAGATCCTGAAACACACAAAAAGTAGGATAAAATGTAACAGAGCACTGAAGAGATTTAGTAAGCTTACTGACAGACATTAAATTAAAGGGAAACTAAGGAACATATAAAATAGACGAGAGAGACAAGGAATCACTAAGTTGAGTTGTCCCTAAACCTGAAACCTTAGTGGAGGAACCGTTAGCAAGGGTAACTTTTTGAGAAGGAGGTATAGAAGTAAAATCAGACAAAAGAGAAGAACATCCAGTCATATGATCGGATGCTCCAGTGTCTATGATCCAAGGACTGCGAGTGGAAGACAATAGACGTGTGTGCAGTAGCTGACTGGGCAAAAGTAGCTGTGGAAGATGAATTAGATGCTTGCTTATAAGACAAAAACTGAGTATACTCGTCACGTGGGACAGGGACCGTATGTGATTCAGCTACATTATAAGATCCAGAAGCAACATCATTCGGAGAGGAGGAAATTTGATTTGCATAACTAGATGGTTTGTCATGAAGATCTCAACAAAAATTCACAGTATGATTAGAAAGGCCACAATGAGTACATTTTTGTAATTCCCTGCCACGGCCACGTCCTCCCCGTGAATCACGACCGCCACGTGTGGAGAGCCCCCCACGACCGCCACAAAAAGCAGTATTTTCACCCTTTGAAACGATTAATGCTGAACGCTCACCACTCTGCCCAGTATTCAAAGTTGAAGTACCACTGACAAGTGTAGCGCGCTGAAGTCTAGAAAATACTTCAGCAAGAGATGGAAGTGTGGGATTGCCCATAATCTGTGAACGAAAAGACTCATAAGCTGATGACAAACCAGTAAGAAAACAGACAACATTAAAGTCATCACGTTGTTGTTGCATACTTCGAACATCAGCAGTACATATTCAGCTCCTCACAAACTCCCATAACTTTGGAATAATACTCTTCTATACTGTGATTACCTTGTTCAAGATTGAAATACTGCTTACAGAGCTCATAAACACGAGTGATATTACCTGTTCCAGAATACAGTTGCTGCAATCTGTCCCATATCTCCTTGGCAGTATCCAAATAAAGTAAAGTTGTACTGATTTGGGGTTCAATACTATTTATCATCACAGAGATGATCTGAGCATCTTCCTTTTCCCATGCATAAAAAGAAGCATCAGTTTCCGTGAGTTTCTCTTTAGTCAAATGAGTACCGAGACCTCTACCTTTGAGAAAAATTTTAACAGATTTAGCCCACAGTATGTAATTCTTCCCATTGAGTTTAACAGAAGTCATGGGAGAATGAAGACCAGAGGTGGGAGAAAACAAATCTGAACTGGATGCCATGTTGTACTCAGCAAAACAGAGAAGGAAAAAAAAATACAGAATTGGTATTCTGGCCGAACCTGGCAAATGGGCCGGATCTGAACAAACGGGCCGGATCTTGGCAAACGGGCCGGATCTGGCCAAACGGTCCGGATCTGGGCTATCGGGCCAGATCTGGGCTATCCAGGTTTAGTAAACCAGGATTGGAATAGCATAACAGTGTAGCCAAACAAGGGTCTTCTTCTTCACACCTTCACAAACGCCGGTGAACAAAGTAGCGGAGACAATGGCGACCCAGGCACAAGCAACGGCCGAATCAAGAGACAGCTACCTTTGCAACTTCTGGCCAAAACAAAAAATTCGACGAATCTCTCCTCTGTAAATCAAGACGGCAGATCTGATACCAGATTTGATGACGAGCTCGCTGATAACCAAAACAAGAAGCTGCCGGCAACGACGATGACGAACGATGCAGATCTGACGACGACGAATGATGATGTAGATCCGATGACAGTGAACGAGGAGCTGCCGGCGACAAACGAAACACCAACACCACAATCGCGATTCCGATCGTAATTCCGATCTTAAACCACACAATTACAGACCCTCACACCCATGAATTCGTAGCGCTCTGATTCCATGTTGTTTATCATGAGAGACAGAGAGAGAGAGAGAGAGAACTTGTTCTATATCACACTCACACATAGACAAACCTAATAAGCCTATATAGGCTTATATAAGGGATACAAGTTACCTAAATAACACAAGGGCCCTACTAACAGAATGTAATTACATAATGGCCCAACATATATATATATATAACATTCTAACAAATTGCATGTTAAAAATTTGAAACTAATATAGTTTCACATGCAATTCAACCACCACCACAGTGACGTATTGGTAGATACAGCCACAAACAGCTGACATGTCATAATATTGGGCAAGATGGAACCATAAAAACAGTTTGATTGATATATACGGTGTGGTCGAGTCTTGGACTATGGTGTTCCCATGGTGCTTGGACTACTTTTGAAGGTTGCATGATTGGCTGTCTTGGGATTTAGGACTGTTCCAGGTGAGTCATTGTTACAACTTTTGGTTTACGATGGGCTCTTTTCTCTTCCGGTTGGTTTTCTAGAGGGGGTTCAGTATGCAGAGTAATACTTCAGGGTCAATCTGCCTTTGTTTTAAAGTTTTTCGAAGAAGCTAAATTATTAAATATTAAATTTTTTCGAAGAAGCTAAAATATTAAATATTTAATACTTGGTATGAAAAGGTGACAATAAATAACAAACTTACAGGGCTTCTGGAATAGTAGATATCTGTTTCTGTAATTTTTTCTTTTTATTGTAGGAAGTTTACTGTACGTCTGAGTGTATTTTGTGGTTGTCTGTCCTTTCACGTTGATTATGGTTCATTGAGGGTTTCCCCCTTTTTTTCAGATAGGAATGTGAAGACTGGCTTGTTATTTTGGATAGGTTGGTTATGAATTGTTTTTGCATTGAAACAATTGATATGAATTGAAAATTTCCACTTCTTCAACCCCACAAGCCCCTTCCCTCCCCTCCTTTCCATTTTTTTTTTTTTTTTTTGGCTCTAGCAGATCCCCACACATGGTTTCTCATATTCAGTCACTAGCCATTATTACATCAAATGTATCCGTATTGAAACTTTTAAGTCTTCTCGATGATCAGTCAAATGACAATCATTTGTATTTTGTATTTGTAAATCAAAAAAAATGATAATTCCAAAATGGCAGGAATCTCAGCTGTGTTTGAGTTGGGAAGCACTTTATCATGAGACACATTTTCTTGTTGACAAGTGAGAACACTCAGCTGGATGAATCTCAGATTTTTTTTTTTTCATTTTTTGCAGTATAATGGTTTAGACTTTGTTGTTAGGTTATCCTTTAGTTTCCGCTCTCCAATTTACAAGTTTCTTTTGTACCTGAAAACTCTCTCTCTAGCTTAGAAGCTTCTTATTCCAAGTCAGTTATTTACTGGCAGTTTAACCATTTCTTTATGTTCTAATACACAATTGAGTTTTCAGAGACTTCTGTACTATTCTATTCTCCCACAGTAGTACCATTTCCATGCCAGCTTGTGATTTTTTGTCTGACGCTACTATTATGCTTCATTTGGATGCCTAGTGAAGAAGAGGAAAATCTCACAACTGTGATTTCAACCCTTAAATGGGTCTTGATTGTATAATGATCTATTTTTGTCTTGATTATCATCTTCTTGGCAATGACTTATTAAAAAAAATTATCATCTTCTTGGCAATGAACTTCGAGTATTTTATTGTACATTTGTGCAAAAAAATTTCTAATTATCTGACAGGTAAAGTTACAAACTCGGGCATCTGTTGAATTTCAGTATTTCTCAAAGTACCTTTAGCTTGAAGGTTTGACATTGACTAATTGTTGAGGTTTTCTTTTTTTGAGTAAATTTGTAAGAATCTAAGATAGTGTTGTGAGCTAAATGAACGTGGTACAAAGTCATTCCTTTCTGTGTTAAGGTCCTTCAGGGTTCTTCTATTCTGTTCTTTGACTGGGTATTCCACCATGTTATGTAGATTATTCTTTTTAATCATTCCTGCCTATTTGTTTCTAATTCTTTGGTGAGCATGTCATGAGGTACTTTATATATATGTGTATATATATATATAAAGGATTTAAAATCAGAATTGCTTTGACCTTGGTGCGTGGTGTGATGCAGATACCTCCAACCAGAGCTATATCTCCAAAGCTTGGCCGAAAAAAGTGCTCACACACCAGAGACTCTGAAGGAAACAGTGGCTGCAACTGTCAATCTGGTCGGTTAAGTTTGGATGAGGCAGCAACTCAAAGTAACCCCAACAAAGGACCTTCCCCTGTCCGTGTTAAAAAGCCTCAACGCAATTCCCTTCCCAAGCTTCCTTCTGAGAAAACGAATTTATCCAATGATACTAATGAAGCTGGATCTCGCAACACCACCTTATCCCAAAAAACGAATGCAGCCAAATCTCATAAATCCACCTCGTCCGATGACACAAAAGGAGTTGCATCTCTTGAAACCACCATATCCAATGAAACGGAAGGAGATGCTTGTCATGCTCTGGAGCAGGAGTCAGTTCCAACTGCTGAGCCAAACCAAATTCAGAACAATTTAGAGAGTGTGCCTATAGTGGAAGACCATGTCCAGACAACATCTGTGCAGGAACCCATTGCTTTGGAGAATTAAACACGACGGCATTGGAACTAAACATGTATTTATCATGCCCTCGATTCCATACTCACCTAAAATAATAGATGAGTTGTGAATAAGACTTGAATGTTGCCAAAAGGCATGAAGGATTTTGTAAGAAGGCTTGTTTTGGTGTCTTGTCCATGGTCAGCAGCAAGGTGGTTGGCCATTCAATGTGTGCTTGCTTCAAGATTGCTGGTTTGGTCATTTGGGAATCTGCAGTCCTCTATCTGCATTGTTTGTATGATAAATCTTCGCGTTGTTTATCCTAATGTCCTAATATATGTTAAAATATGATGATTCAGTTGTTTTTTTTAAAACATGTTAAAAAAGAGAAAAAAAAATTGTATAATCATTTTTGGGAAAAATGTAAGGTTAGTTGATGATGGAAGTATTGGGATTTGTATTGTCTGTGAAGACATGAAAAATGGGTATTGTTTATTACTGTAATTGAGACTTGATATATGTTTGTTAAAATCCATTCTGAGTTGTTTAGTTTCTTTCATTTCTTTCTATAATATTTGGCTTCTCAGAATATAGAGGAAGAGAAAATCAACTATGATCAGGTCAAGCAGAGAGCTAAAAAGAAATGTAAAGAATGGCAGATAGCACCATGATAGAAAGCTTTATGGCATCACAGATGTATCTCACATGTTTTTATTTTATTTTATTTTTAGTTTTTAGTTTTTTATTTTTATCAAAGTGATCTCAAATGATTATTAAATCACTATTTTTTTAACAATAATTTGACAGGAGGACATGAAATTTGGTTCAGGGCTAAAGCTAAAAGCAAAATGGGTGGTTTTTTTGTTTTTTTTGGGTTGCAAATAATACTAAAATTTAAGCAGTTCGGAACTTTTCCAAGTGGATGGTCCATGTTCTGTCAAAAAAAAGAAAAAAGAAAAAAAAGAACTAGATGGTCCCCATGTGTTTTAAATCCAATTAGAATCAAGCAAGAGCACTCTGTTTCATTTTGTTCTTCTCTAACACCATCTAGTAGGGTACATTATTATTATTGTTATTTATTTATTTTTTACTATGTTATTCTATTTAGACAAGAGACTTGCGAGGTTGCAAACTTAATTAATTTTAATTTGGTAAAGTAAAAAAAAATTGTGCAAAAAAATACCTCCAGTTTAGTAGTACTTGAATATAACTCCCTAACATTTAAAAATTGTAAATTGTTCATTGATAGTCAATTTTGATCAAATTTTTATATATATAAAATCTAAAATAACCTTAATAAAATTTGGGACTAAGTATCTAAAAAACCCCTAAAGTTTACTTTTTCAGCAAATAACACCCTTTTTACTTTGGATTTATAATTCCCTCAAAAATTTAAAAATGTTATAAAGGACTTTTAGCGTTTGAAATGCATTGTTAAAAAAACATGTGTCTGTCACATGATTGATTAAATTTAATAAATATCAAAATTACCCTTTATTGATTCTCAAAACGCCCTTCCCTTCTGTATATAAATCTCAAAAATAAAAGATATAATAGTAATTTTACATTAACTGAATTTTTATTTATTTATTTATTTTTAATTGTACAAAGAACATTTTAGTATTTTATCACCCATTAACGGCTAATTGACGGGAGATCCTTATTTGTCCCTATAATAAATGTTAGGAGGATTTTCAAAACCTATTGGGAATTATATGAGCTATATGGGTGTTAAATGCCACCGCACTCGTTCGAATCATAAAAAAAAAAACAATATTCTAATAAAATGATAGAAAACATCTCCAACCATTCCAAGCGAAGCCCATTTTAAATCAGTAGGCACCAAATTGAACAGAGCCCCATACTGTGTACATGATTCAAAGTCTCACATTACATTTTAAGATAATAAACACACGGTCACAAAGTGATGATCCAAAAACTCTCCGGTCAATATATAACAGCCTCAAAATGGAAGATAACCCATACTGCAAGCCAAGTCTCCAGAAAACTCCATGGCAACTTCATTTCTTCTCCGGGCCTTGCTCAGGTTAGGACCTGAAAATGTTTTTGTAAAAGAAAGGCTCAGTAGGTTTCCTATGTTTGTTGGCAAATGCAGAACAATTTCAGAAAATGAACTGAACAATCGGAATCAGACACCAGAATATATTTAAATAAATAATGGCACTTCAATTAGCATCACTTCCAAACTTCATTTCTGAGTTCAGTCCGTAGTAAGATATTAACATCATTTTCTTAAAACCGCAATAATTCAAAGAAGTCAGCCCATAATTTCCATATTTCCTTTTCAATAGGAAAGAATGCATTTTACTAACAATATACCCGACAACAATTTCTCAGAGCATCAAAGCCCAGCTTTCCAAATCCAACTCCAAAGGAAAGAAACAATATTCAATTATTGCGGTACATTCTGTTCTTCCAACATCAGTAATTCATAAGAAAAATCATTAAATATTAAATACTCCATGTTTCTTGGTAAAACAAAATTCTTGATAAATCTCATTTAAGTCCATTTTCATTATCCCAAATCTCAGTTTCAAAAACACACCGTAGGGATTTCTTTAAAGGTACTACTACTGTCCAAAGCTTTCACAGATTTTCAGCAAAAAACTTGCTTTCTTTAAACGTTCACCAAAAATAGAATTCTAACTCAATTTGCAAGAAACAAGAATCATTTGAAAGCTTAAACACTATATTTTGACTTCAACAATTTACCTTAATAAGTACCTTTATCAATTGAGTCCGTTTTGAAGGAAAACAGTAAGAAAATTCTACTCTTTAAACAGTTCTTCTGTCAGCAAATTATCTTCAATTTCAAAAATCTACGATAAATTCAAAACTCAGCACTTTTGAGCTAAAAAAAACTATAAACTATAAACATACTTTAATATACCAAAATCTCATTGACAAATAGCAAGTCAAAATATAGAAAATTCAGCCCTAAAACCAAAGTTAAATTTTCCCACAAGGGTTCATTTTAAGATTAACAACTCCTTCAACTATTTCCATGTTCAACAAAATATTTTGACAACATAATCCCATATTACACATAAAGAGAAACATTGTTGTAAACCCTCTAATTTTTTTTAAAGAAATAGAGCAATTTCAAATAGTTGAAAATGTTTAGGAAACCTACCTAATGAGGTCTCAAAAATCACATTAACTCCACCAAATAGAATGCACAAAAGCCCCTCCATAAATACTTTAATCACCCTACTAACTAATAAATCACACCAAGACCTCAACTCTCCAACAGATAACTTCCAACTCCTAAATTAACAAAACATGGTCCCTAGTATAACCAAAATCAAATCATTATTCAAGATTAAAGCCTAAATAAATAAAAAAATCTGCGGTATTAAGCATGAATTTTTTTTTTTTTTTTTTTCCCTTAGTTGGTACTCTCACACACACACACGCTTCCACTGAGACTTGAACTCCTGACCTCCCTTTGGAAAGTAGGGGTCTGATATTGTTAGGCCATTAGCCCGTTGGTCACACCAAGCATGAAGACTGTTGGATATGATTCAAGTATAAAAAAAATAAAAATCATATCCAATTGTCATCATACTTGGTGTAAATGCTTTGAATTAAACGTAAACCACTAGTGTGTGCCCCATTTTCTAAGGTTTTAAAGTATATACTTTGCTCTAGATTCAAGAATACCATTAAAATTGATAAAGAGTAAGTGATGGATAAGGGAATTATAATACCAAGGAAGTACTTTAAGTTAGAATATAGTCATAATTTGATACCAGAAACCCACATGAGAACTTGTTTGGCAACACAAAGAAGCCTTAAACACTCGACGCATACATATATATAACACACGATTAATGGTGCCACATCAATTTTGCACCGCCAGGACAACGATGGAGAACTGACGCCTTCATGGATATGTGCCAAGTTGAGGTCCGATGATGAGAAAGAGGAGCAATAGCAACCCTCGTTTTCTAAACTTTCTAGAGAGGATGAGAAAGAGCATAGAATGATAGAGGGATGGGAAGGAGAGGTCATATGCTGCTCAAGGTAGGACAAGAAAGAGTGTGTGTGTGTGTTATCAGCCCAATGTTATCAGAGGTCCAAGGGGGGCAAGTTTAAAAGTAAAAATTATAGTTTTAAATTAAAAACCATGTTAAAATTGTGTCAAGACGTTGTCAAGAAGTGAGAATCTCCTAACACACCCACACAACTCGATAAGATATCCATGCCTTAGCATTCAATTTCCATTTGAACTAGTCAATAAGCAACCAACAACGCACAACAAGAAGAGATAATTGACAATTCACAATCAAACTTTAACCAATCATTGCAAAACTATTTTATTACTAACTATATAAAAGGGTTGGTAAAAAGCTTACCAATGCAGAACACAATCCTACCAAAATCCGTAGAAAATGTTGGAATGAAATTGGTGTAATATTATCAGGAGAACCGAGAATTAACTCCAAAGCCTTGGGCAATCCAGCCCTAACCGTGTGCTTAGCAATGTCACCAGACACAGTTAAAACATCCATCATTAGCAAATGCAAATCTTGGATATCTTTAGTTGCTCCTCTCAAACGAAAACCATCACCTAGACGAGACACAGCACAACACAATAAATAAATAAATAAAAAATAAGTAAAAAGAAGCATTGGGTCTTCTTTTCATTTACCTGCTCTTGAAAGAAGCAGCTTGGCGCGTATTTCCTCTCGAATCTCTAATCTTGTAATAAGGGCACGTCCTTCTCCAAAGTCAAACTCTTGTATAATGCCGCACATTGTGTTTTCTATGGTGTTTATGATCTCACTTGTGGTGTTTCTTGTAATCACAACGCCATCATTAATGAGGTTTCCGTGAACAAAATCCCTATTGAACAAAAGTTTCAATCCATTGCACACATCGGCGAAGATTGCCCTAAATTCTGATTCTATACTGCTCCACCAGTTGGGCCAGTTCTGTTCTTGTTTGGGTAATTGTTTATACAGCTTCTTCTTCCTTTCCATCCAAGTGCAGAGGGTTTAATCAAATTTGTCGGCCACTACCACAGAGGAAGTTCCTTTGGAGTTTATAAAATGAAAATCCAACACAAACTCTGATTTTAACAGCCTCGTCTTGTCAAAATCCCTAAGTGCTGCATTCTGATTATCCTTCCCTTTCTCATCATAATTTATCAGTGATATTTCCCGGCTAATAATGCCGTCTGTGAACGAGTAACCGAACTGGTACGGTGTGTTCACCAACCACCCCGACACTGAATATTTATTGTCCATATCTAAACAAGTATCCAATGCATAAAAATTACCACTAATTTTGTGTATAAAAAAAAAATTAATAATAATAATAATAATAATAATAAAGAAGCCATGAATGGTGAGAACAATATATAGAGAGAGACATATCAGAGAACGAGATAGTACCGTCCGTCGTCACAATGGTTGGTCGGCGATATGAGAGGGTGACCGGCCGAGTGTCAGTGAGAGGGACCTATAGATAGATCGGAGAGTTCTCACCCGTTAATGGCTGCTAAGGAAAAAGAGAAGCAGGCTTTCAAAATTTTACGCACAGTTTGGTTAGATAGAAATAGCCAGAGAGGAAAATAAAAGGAAAATTTTGAAGGGTTTATTTGGTTAGACAGAAAATTTTATGAAAAGTGAACAGAAAATAAGAAAAATCAAGTTTCCATCCCTGATTAGTAGGAGATTTTTTTAAAAAAATTATGAGAAAATATTATTTTGTTTTTAGTAAAAAAATAAAATAGTATGTGATATCATAATACAATTTTTTTTTTTTACTTTCTCATCCATCTATCTCTCTTCACTCCTTCCTGTGCAAACTTGAATTCCCTATCTTTTATTTTTTTAAGGTAAGAAAAATAAACTTTAGGTAAAATGGACTGTTCAAATATTTGTTTTTTTTTTTTATGTTAATTTTTTTTATTATTATTTATTTGTAAATGATGTAACTGGGTCTTATATATTTAATTACTGATTATGCAGACTATTTAAGAATCATCAATTATATATTTGAGGATAATGTTTGATGTTAGTTATGAAAAAAATAATTCAATAATAAAAGGAAAATTTTAATTAATTTTGGATGCACACGTACAAAAATATAAACAATTAAATTAGTAATACGGAGTACATGATTGTATATAAAAAAACAATTTACAGAAAGAAAGAAACTCTCATTTTCAAGAAAATCTATGTAATTAAGTGAAGAAGAAGAGAGACAACAGTGTATAATAGGAAAGAAAAATATTATAAATTTATTTAGACGTATTGTCAAAAATGTATAATTTAGAAAAATTATAATAATTTTTAGGGTAAGGTACAGTCACACCCCTGAGGTTTGACAAAAGGACACTCAGATGAAACTTATTTGTTTTTTTGGACAAAGACACCCTGAAAGTTTAAAAATGGACAAAGACACCTCCTTTACATGAGAAATTGACCAAATTACCCTTTAACTGTTTAGGAGACTTTTTTAATTTTACAATTTAATAAATTGGACCAATCTACCCTCATCAACAATTTATGCATAAAAGAAGGTAACAAAAAAAAAAAAAAAAAAACTTCATATTGTTCACTTTTTTTTTTTTTTAAATGTCCCAACTTCTTAAAAATATAAAAGTCTAAAATGATTTTTTAATCCAATATATTTGAAATAAATTATATTTTGTTATTACTTATTTTCTTTTTCTTTTTTATTTTTAAATTAAGATGCTTAATTCTTTCATCTAAAAAAATTAAACCAATCTCTTTTCCTTAAAAATAAAAAAATATGGTACCAGTATAACTTTATGCATCTTAAATTATATATCAAATATTATGCATTTTTTAACATAAAAGGGGAAAAAAATAATAATAAAACAAAGGGAAAAAAATAGTAAAACAAAGGGAAAAAAAAATAATAAAACCAAAGGAAAAAAAAAAAAAAAAAAACAAAGGCATGCATAAAGTTATACTGGTACCTATTTTCTTTTATATTGGGAAATGCATAATATTTGATATATAATTTAAGATGCATAAAGTTATAATGGTACCATATTTTTTATTTTTAAGAAAGAGAGATTGGTTTAATTTTTTTAGATAAAAGATTAAGCATCTTAATTTAAAAAAGAAAAAAAGAAAAAGAAAAGAAGTAATAACAAAATATAATTTATTTGAAATATATGTATTAAATCAAAAAATCATTTTAGATGTCTACATTTTTTAGAAGTTGGGACATTTATAAAGTAAATAACAAAAAAAAAAAAAAAAAAAGTGAACAATATAGAGTTGTTTTTTACTTTTTTTTATTCATAAATTATTCATGAGGGTAGATTGGTCCAATTTATTAAATTGTAAAGTTAAAAAAGTAGGGTTGTCTTTGTCCATTTTTAAACCTTCAGGGGGTGGGGGTGTCTTTGTCCAAAAAAGAGGTAAATTTTCTCTTAGTATCCTTTTGTCGAATCTCAGGGGGTGTGACTGTACTTTATCCTATTTTCTATTAACTTTCATACTATCCAAATTATGAAATAAATTTTTTTCACAAATTTGTTGAAAAATTTCATACTACTAGCCAAATGAATTCTAAAAAATTTATTTTCTTTTCTTCCACGGACCAGTGGTGCTAGATTTTGAACGCAACCAGTAGGATTTTCATATCCGGGACTATATTATATGTTCATGGGTGACACTTTCTTCTAAGTGAAAGAGTTCAATGAATATTCTTCCGAGCCAAAATTTATTCTATATCAGTAATATTTCTATACTTGTTGCAAGCTTATGGGTTTTTAATTCTTTTGGTGAGATAGCATTATCACAAATCAGGCATTTTGAGACGTAAATGAATTCGCTAAATTAAACCTACTCATATAGTACTACTAACAATTTTATATGAATGGATGGTAAAGGTTCGGGCTTCTAAATGAGCAAAAAGTGTTTGTAAGGCTCCGTTTGATTAGATGAAATAAGTAAGAAAATAAAAGATATAGAAAGTGAATGAAAAGAAAAGTAATTTTCTAGCATTTATTGGTTAGCATGAAAAATTTATCAAGAGAATTGTAGAAAAATATTATTTTATTAGTTTGGATGGCATGAAAATGAAAAGAAAGTAATTATACATACCAAAACTACCCTTTGAAAGAAAAATCAAATATTTTACCATATATATATATATATATATACACACATACATACAAAAATGACTTGCATTAATATACCAAATTAAAAGTTCAATATGGTCTTTCAATAAAACATTCATGGAACAAAGTTTTTCCATCAACATTTAAATAGTAGCATAACTACGTTATCAGATTCTATTGTATATTCGTTTATATAGAGAGAGAGGTATATATATATATATATATATATATATATATATATATATGTGTTGTCTCTTATATATATTGAATACTGTATATATATTTGGAACGAAAAAATCGTTAAAACAGCATCCCTAATTATCAAAAATTTTGAAACTATAGATGTAATAGTGATTAAGACTATTAAACTCATTATTTTAAGTATGATTTGGGATTATGAGGGGGCTAGAATTGCAACATAGAACAGACAAAAATAAATAAATAAATAAAAAATAAATCTATTTAGAAGGAACAATTTTACACAAATTATCATTGATTTTCTGTATTAAATGTATTATTTGCGTTGCTAGAGAAATGTTGAGAGAGAACTTACCTTTAGAGAGAACTTTGCAACCATTAAGTTATGAGTAAAATTGAAACGGCAAATAAGTAGGGGATATTTCACACGAAAATAAAATTTTAGCGTGTTTTTTTGAGGGAAAAATTTGGAATGAAAAAACTCAAAACGGAAACTAAATTTTCCATTACGACTCTCTTTCTATTTATCCAAACTTTAAAAAAAATTAAAATTTTTCTTCATCCTTTCTTTTTTAGTTGTTTCTACCTAACCAAACAAAGCCTTGTGTACGAGTTTCTTGTTTTCGGTCTTTATTTTATTACATTTTCACTCATCCAGGGAAGAGGTTACCTACTCTTAATGGTCACCAAAAAAAAAAAAAAAAGAGACAATTTTATCTGAAGATGATTTCCTATACTTAATTTGCAACAAGGAAAATATTAAAACACTATCTACCTTTTATAAATAAACTACAAAAGGTAAATAGACCACTAGACCACAAGGCTCTTAATTAATAATAATTTAATTGTGCTGAAAATTTCCGTAAGAGAAAGTCAATAAACTACAAAGTACAAAATTTTGAATAAATAATATTAGTACTTAAGAGAATTTAAAAGTAAGAAAAAAAAAAGTCTTGTGAAATTGATGATGAGATTGACGAGAGGGAAAAAAAACAAAGGAAAAAAAGAAAAAAGTAATTAAATGATAAAACAAAAAGAAAAAAAAAAACTTGAAGTCGAAGTATTTATTTGGTAACTAATAAGAAGCATAAATAATTCATTAATATATATATATAATTCATTTATATTTATTTTGTAATTAATGTAATACAAGAAGAATAATTACCTCTTTGACACAACAGCTCTCATCACAACATTACCTCCTTAACCCAACAGCTCTCTCATCACAACACCACCTCTCTGTGTGCCTATAGTAGGTGATTTAATTGGTGATGTGGTGACATCACAAGAACCATTACCATCTTTCAGAACATAACAAAACCAATAGGGAGGCCAGAAAGCAATACTATCACAAAGAAAACTCTTTGAACGTTTTTTATTCAGCATCATTACATAAAACTCAAGGCAATACAACACTAGGCAATTATCTATTCTATCACATTACATAGAGGTAGCAGAATACAGTTCATGAACAAGTGAAGCCTGCAAAACAAGGGCTTGGTAAGAAAAAAGAACAAACTCCTCCTCCCAATAGGAAAAGAGTTGTCAATGGCAGACTGAAGGAAACTTCTGCCAAGACCAAAGCCCAAGCACACCCAAGGCAACACACTTTGAACTGTCAAATGCAACCGTTTAAAAAACAGAGAAGGGCAATCTCGAGCCACTCTAAGAGGAAAACAGAGACCCAACCGACGAGTGCAGAACACAGGTTCAAATAACATGGAAGACCCGGTAGAACTGCAAGTGGACAGAGCAAAAACAGAGTTTAGAAACTGGAAGCATATAGAAAGCTTATCCACTGCTTGTAGCATATCGATGCGAGACTAGGCTAAGGTAAGGTAAAATATCAGGTGCCAACCCCCAGTAACACAAAAGCAGGAACATATGTAAAAAGTCCAGAACCAGAACCCAGTAGCTGTATTCTCAGGGAAGTGCAGGCACGGAGAATGTGCACCCCATCATTTGGGGGACCAAAATTCTTCCAACAGCTTCCTAATGAAAGGAAAGCTGCAAAAAAAGAGTAACCCGCATAATCCCCTGGAAAAAGTAACCAGGTCACTGGACTACAAGAAGGCCCACAGATGATGGACCAAAAAACAACACATATGCTCCTACAATCAAGAGTTTACTGGAATTCATCCACCCCGAGTCAGAAAGAGGGTTTGCATTTCGCTCCTTGCTCAGGAAAGAACATCACATCGCCATAGCCGTTCCACAAGCAGATTGACTGTGCTTCTGCTAATTGCGCTGCAGTGTTGGATGTTCAATCCCACAAGCGTCTCACCCAGCTTTCCCAGAGAAGACGAGCTCTTGTCAGATATTAGGGAGCAACCAGACACAGATAGGATCTGCAGATTAACCTGGACTGCACAAGCCAATGCTGCAATGCCAGCATCGGTGATGGCACAATTAGATACATCAAGTTCACTTAGAAAAGAACAATTCTCGGCAATCGTTCTCAAGCTTGCATCAGTTATATAACGGCAACCATCAAGATTCAGCAGCTCAAGAGTCCGACCATGACGCTTAGCAATGGCTGAAACCACTTTGTCTGTCAAGTTCACACAAGCACCAAGTTCAACCTTTGCCAGAAAGGGCTCACAACTCTCAATAAGTTGGAGAAACCCATCATCTGTTACTCCATTTAGGCCATTGAGGTCCACATGCTGCAATTTAGGGCACAATTTACCCATCAAAGCCAAACTAGAATTGCCAAAACCAGGGCAGTTACGGACGGACAAAGATTCCAGGGAATTGCAAAGAGAATTTAGAGGGCACCCAATAACCAAGTCCTTAATTCCCAAGCAGTTTGCCAGAGCAAGAGCCTTCAAATTTCCACCACAGTTAACAATGATGCCAAAAAACCCTAACTGGGTAATCCTGTGGCATTCCTCCAATTTCAGGCTCTCAAGTGACCCCGCAGCTTTAACAAAAGAAATCAATCCATTGTCTGATAAGAATGCACATTTACGAAGGCAAAACTGCTTCAGTTTAGGGCAACCTTTACCCACAGCTTCAAGCCCTAAATCAGTAACTCCTTGGCAAGAGGTAATTGTAAAAGTCATCAACTTCTGTAAACCATGACCGTTACCCATGACCCAAAAGCCCCTCTCACTTAAATTTTTGAGGCCAATGAGAACCAAGTCAGTAACTGCCTTACCATAGTGTCCAATAACAGCAAGAGACACATCACTGATGTTCAAAGCTTCTAGCTTCACCTTTGTCAGCGCATTACTGGCTGATGACAACAGAGTTGCAATTCCTTGGTCCCCAACAAGCGGGCAGTTTTTGATTGAAATGGACTTCAAGTTGGGGCAGGAACGGCCAATAGCTTGCAGGCTCTCATTCCCAATGTTGGAACAAGATTCTATTGTTAGACATGTCAGATTAGGACAATTTTTTGCAATAGCCAGCAAAGCTTTGTCGGAAATTGCCGGGCACCTGCAGAGGTCAAGCTTCTCCAACAGGCGACAACCATTAGCAATCTCAATTAGGCCGTCATCTCCTATAGAAGATACATTCCACAGGGAAAGAACCCTTAAATAAGGGCAGCACCGAGCAATTGCCTTGAGGCCAAGGTTTGTCAGCCTCTGACTAGAATTGCTTCCTCGGATAGAAAGCTTTCCCAATCCTCCACGGCTTCCAGTTCCAACAGCGATGGATGCAAGTCTGACATCAGTAGCTTTCTTCCCTTCCAGGCACCTGGAAAGGTATCCATCAACCTCTATCTCTTGATCCTCAGCCTCAGATTCAACTTTGTTACCATTAGAACCAACAACTCCAGCTCTCTTGTTACACTCAGAGGACTCATCAGCCTTATTAGAAGTCAATCTTTCCTCACGCTCCAAAGACCGGGTTCTGTTGGCAGAGAGTTCATCCCTACGGATGCTACTTAAAAGCATAAGCCAGCGCTTGGAAACACAAGCAGAGGCACTTCTTTCTTGCCCTCCAGGGAGACGTCTGAGAACCTCAAAGAGGCATTCGTCAGGAAGAACATCAATGGAAGCTTGCTTCTTCTGCTCAAACCTTTCTCCATTGAATACAAAAGGGGCACTGATGCGAGACCTTTTGCGAGAAGGAAAATACATGTCCACATGATTTCCAAGGGACAAAAATGTACTTGATTCCTTGGGATTTGGGTAGATTGGACCACCAGAGTAAAAATCACCATATCCTGAAAATCAATAGGTAAGAAACTAATTCAACCACAAATTTACTTGAAAATTTGACAAATTAATGAAATTAAAATTTCAGCAATACACACAAGCCTGCCTAATTCCAGAGTTAAGGCATATCTGAATAATACAAGTTTCTAACATAGCTCAGCAACCATGAATACACCAAATGAAACACAGGTATGTATTTCGATGGATCATTAAACTAAATTTTTCGAAGGATCTTTTCAATATAAATCAAATACTGTATATTAGAATATGCATCTCCATGAATTTGGTCAAGAGCTCCCAATCACATGGATCTCCATGTTAACCTTTAAGTATAACATGTTTCTTTAAATCATAATTCGTAACATAAGAAGTAACCATAGAGGCACTGCCTCAAATTAAGTTATTGATAATTTCAAAAGGCTTCATCACTAATGTGCATGAATCTCGAGTGTTTAAATCAACCCATATAGTGATGTAATACATTATTACCAAAAACACCACAAAACCAGCTGCCAGTGCCCTAGCGGTATCAACCTCTTACCTCCCAAAGGAGGCAGGGGTTCTGAGACCCAAAAAAAAAAAAAAAACACAACACAAAGTAAACAAAAAAGCTTAGAAAAAATCTAAATTTTATACTTCTTACGGGATCACCAATCAGATAAATCTTGACACTTTATCTCAAATAACCAAACCAGAAACTGTACATTTCACAAAAATAAAATAAAAAAATAAATATAAACAGAATTTCACTAAAACCCATTTAGTAAGTCCAATATGTATACAAATCAAACCAACTAAACTAACAAAAGTACTTCCAAATATGTAATAAATTCAAATTACAAAATTCAACACAAACACCAGCGGCTTAATCTCAAATGACAAAACAGAAGCAAAACCCTAATAGATCGGAAAGCTTACCACTGTAACTGAAGAGCTTCGACATGAATACTGTTGGAAAACCCTAGGGTGGTCGAATCCGAACCGTTTAAGCCCAAAAAACCCTCGATCGAGAGCGAAAAAGAACAAATTTACAGAGAACAAGGTGGTGAAAGCAACGTATAGAGATTCAAACAATGAATGCATCAGAGAATTGAAAGGCAAGAGGTCATCAGAAACCCTATGACAGGGCAAAAAGAGAAGAGAAGAGCGGGGTAAAGAGATGAATTGTGTGAAGAAACGTTATACATTGTATGTGTGTATGAGAGCCATCTTTTTATTGTCAAAGTGGGGTCCTTATTTTCTGATATCAAATATATGCATATATTATTATATTTTATATATATACACAGAGAGATGCAATGAATCCAAACTAAAAATGAGAACGTCCATTGTTCAGTGGTCCAATTCTCTCACCGTTGTTTCTGAAAATACCAGAAACAGGGCACCTTAGACCACACAAAGTGGTTTTCTTTTCTTTTCTTGGAAGGGAGTGTTTGGATACTGAGGTAAGAAAATGCTTTTGGTTACCCCAAAAAAATTGAAATAATATAAAATGAATTAAAAAAAAAAAAAAAAAAAAAAAACTAAGATAATGCTTTCTTTATGGATTTTTAAATGAATCCATAAAGAATTTTGTGTTTGGAGATTGAGTTAAGAAAATTAATTTGTTGTAAAAAGGTTTTCGACATTCTGGGTTGGTGTGTGATGGTGTGCAGGTGGTACCAGTAGGTTATTATATTGGGCGAGTTACAAATGCATAATCTTACATTGCCCAAGTGTGGATGGGACTAGTGGTATATGTAGATTCGACATCATTCTATAATACAATGCATTTTAAAACCACGATGACTCTAAACCTACCAGAATTTAGTTAAACGTATTTAACCAATGAGTGATCTCAGCGGACAATATAATATCTAACTAAGGTGAGGGTTGTTACATTTCAAGGTAATAAAATGATTTACAAATAGACATCAAACATTAATTATTTACACATGATGGGAAAAAGTGGAGTCTAATATAATATTGGTGCAAAATTTTTGTTTGACCCTTATATGGTTTGATTATTATTATATAAGCAACCAAATTATTTGACTGTGAAAACTTTTTTTCTTTCTTTTTTTTTTTTTTTTCCTTTTTTTTTTAATTTTATAAATCCACAACTTGCAAAAAGCATGAACGTACTATTAAATTAAAGTGACAAATTAAAAACACTCTTTTTCTCTCTCTCTCTCTCCTTTGGGGAATTTCAACCTAGGACATAATTATCCTTTACTAGGTATTTTCATCCTAGATACCTCGGACAATTCTCACTCCATCAACTTGATAATATCCTAATATTTCCAGTTGATACATGTTGGATGTTGCTCGTGTATCAACCCATTTTTTTAATACACCACCACCACCACTAACTAATAGATACGCTAAAAATTAGACCTCAACTTGACATATATCTAATGTGAACTTTAATATATAGATACAAATTCACATCCGTATATCTATTATGCAAATAATATGATAAATTATTAAATTGCAACGATAATTACGCAAAGCCTAAGCAAGTGGGCATGGTTTGATTAGAATACTTTATTCAAGATTAGCTTATCATATATATAAATGTAATGCTCTTAACTCTTAAGCAAGAATGTGCTCTACCAAGCAGTGACGGACCTAAAAAATTTGGTGAGGGGGGGCGAATTTTTAATTTGTGGGTACAAAATTACATGATGAGTTCATTTTTGTAATTTTAATAGGGTTTTTTTCATAAATTTTAAAAAAAATTAAGTATAAAATGAAAAAAAAAAAATTAGTGGGGCAAATTATAATTATAGTGGGGGCATCTTCATAAATTATCAAAATTTGAAGTATAAAATGCTAAAAAAAAAGAATCCAGTGGGGGCGAATTGTAATTTTAGGGGGGGCATTTTCATAAATTTTAGAAACATTAGGGTATAAAATGAAAATATTAAAAATTTAGGGGGGGCATCTGCCCCCCTAGTCCCCTGCTGGGTCCGTCCCTACTACCAAGTGATATTTTAATTTGATTATACATAGCGTGGTTTTAAAAAAAATTAAGTATAAAATGAAAAAAAAAAAATTAGTGGGGCAAATTATAATTATAGTGGGGGCATCTTCATAAATTATCAAAATTTGAAGTATAAAATGCTAAAAAAAAAAGAATCCAGTGGGGGCGAATTGTAATTTTAGGGGGGGCATTTTCATAAATTTTAGAAACATTAGGGTATAAAATGAAAATATTAAAAATTTAGGGGGGGCATCTGCCCCCCTAGTCCCCTGCTGGGTCCGTCCCTACTACCAAGTGATATTTTAATTTGATTATACATAGCGTGGTTTTATTAGCTATTGTATAGTTGCATATTATCGTTGTATCTACGACGAATGCAAATAAAAAATGTCATATTGAAATGCGAAAGCATTACATGTTGAAGCAGCCAACAATATTTGTAAATTGAAGAAATCAACTCTAAATATTGTGAGGATTTATTTTTTTCGCAATTTGTCCTTCAAAAGAATGAAAATTTGTTCCTAAATCTAAGTGAACATTTTTACATGTCTTAAACTGAATTACTAGGATGTTGATTGTTTATAGTAATGAATTATCCAACATTATGCTTTCTTTGTAAATAGTGTTTATATTCAACGTTGAAAATGAAATTGGAAGAAAGCCTATACTAATCGCTAGAACTAATATTCGTATAAATGGATTAAGCCGGATATTGAGTGTTTATAGTAATGAATAGCACTGTATGTTGAATTAACTCCGGTGAATGTCGAGGGTTAAAGCAAGGTCGGTCTAAATTATTGAATATTATGCTTTCTTCGTAAATAGTGCTTATATTCAACAATTGGAAGAAAGTCTATAATAATCGCTAGAACTAATATCCGTATAAATGGATTAAGTTACGATCTCTCTTAAAGGTTAGACGTGAAGGTCACGAATTTGACCGCCATTGCCACACTTTCATGTTTTAGGACTTTTAAATTAGTTGGTTGTCTTTATGAAGATTATTGGTGGTTAATTCACAAGAATTATGATGATTTTTAAAGACGGAAAAAATCTTAAAACACTGCCAGAATGCAAATTATTCTTAATTCAAGATACCATATACACATATACTTATCAAAAAATATGTACACACACACACACATCATCGTGATTAATTTCTAGAGAGAGAAAACAAAAAAGAAAAAAATTGGGTTATAGATCCACCGAAGTGGGAAGCCTCAACCGGATGTGTTAACAGGTAAGCCCGAAGGCTGTTCCCGTCCCTGTCAGGGGAGATGCCAACCATCTCTCCTTTCTACGAACACAGTATGAGGTTGCGTTTTCGTCATATATAAAGTATAACTAGCTTCTTTTTTTATTCGGTGTGGGACTATGGGAGTGAAGCTATGCATTGGGCCTATGTGAGTGGGACTATAAGTTGGGCCTATTCAACATGGGCTTGAGTATTGAAGAATCCATCCTTTTATGGTTTTACATAATCATTAACCTAAAGAAAGCAATGAATAATATATGAATGTTAAAAGGCTTATATTTTTCAATTTTCCCTTGAAAATTTTGAAGAATAAGCTATTTTAAGTGGAGGTGTACATTAGGTTTTTTTTTTCATAAATATTTTGTTATGTAGGTTTTGAATTTGTTAGTGCCGGTAGAATAACAAGTGTCTATTTTAAATTTAAAAAATGTAAAGAAAAAAATGAAAAAGAATCTCAACTTTCACTCTTATATTTTAAAATTCAAAATAGATCCGTGTCATTTTTTAATTGCACCACAATAGTGTTGTGCAAGGGGTTTTTCCTCATCAGTGAGGATGCAGCGAGGATGCAAGTATTGTTACAAATGAATGCAAAAATACCTAGTACTATTTATTATTTTATATACTTGTGTTGAGCGATAAAGAATCATTGCTTGCTGAAATGTAAAACAGAGCGTGACAACTAAGTTTGATATGAGAATGGTCAATTTTTGCAAAACGATATTGAATATTTGGAGTCCAAAAACATTCCAAGTTACACAAATAAAAAAAAAAAGTTAGAATTTTATTTTGACATTTTTCTTATTGGAGAAACATAGACTCATGCCCTTACGCATGTTGAACATGTGAAAATCATGGAGTTGTCTGCTCAATTATTGTCCTAATAATAATAGATTTAATCACTTTGACCCACAACCACTTTAAATTTTGGGGGAAAGAGAGGAGATGATTCTCCAACAAATCAATGGTGGAGTGTGTGTGTGTGTGTGTGTTTTGTCATTTGTGGGGAAGCATGCGTATAAAAATGTATACAATCCACTTGGATATGGGGCCAAATAAGTTTGAAACACGGTTTCAAATTTGTAATTATAAACAAGAAGTCAACATGACCATGAATCTACCATTAAAGTGTGAAACTCATTAAACTCGTTGCTTTAGTCATTTTGGATTAGATTATTATGAATCCGTGGCGTGTTTGGGAGACAAGAAAAGATAGCCACTATAAATTCTCGTGTGATGTTACTACCATTATTGCACATAGGAAAATATAAATAAATAAAACACATAGACACGGTTTGTGTCTGTAGATTTTTTTTTTTTTTTTTTTTTTTTTTTTTTTTTTTTTTTTTTGACAAATAAAGGAAGCACGAAGGATTTGACCACGAACATACCTATTGAACACTCTACTAATTAGGTGCAGGTTGAACACTCTACTACTGAATCACTAGGTAAATGGTAATGCCCTTGTGTTTGTAGTTTCGAAAGCCCCTTTGAGTAACATTAAAGCCACATGTTCAATATCTAATCAAATGTTGTGATTATGTTAAATACAAATATTGAAGATGCGGTCGGTAATTGAATTTTTTTTTTTTTTTTGGTAATAAAAAAGAATTGTTTTAAATATCCAAGAAATCAGATCAAGCCAATTCATGTAAATTGTTATTTTGACATTAGTTTTATATTATTAAGGAAATATTATTATGGGATAAGGAAGGAGGGAATGCCAATAATATTGGATATAATAATGTTATGAAGAAGCCATTGGTGGAAAATGCGTGGTTATGAGAAGGGCAAAGTGAGAAAAATACTTTTAATGTTTTAATTTTGATCAAATTACAATTCTATAATTTATTTTGGATATATAACTCCGTTAAGTTTGAAAAAATGAGAAAAGAAGGGTTTATGTTGTGTATATAAGTCCGTTAAGTTTGAAAAGTGAGCAAATAAAGGCTTAAAATCATTTGTTACGATATAACATTCTGAAAACACCCTTATCTCTTCTTATGATGCCCGTATAAGGATAAAGTGAGAAAAACACTCCTAATGTTTACATTTTGAACAAATAATACCCTTATCCTTTATTTTGAGTATATAAGTCCGTTAAGTTTGAAAAAATGTGACAAAGAAGGGTTTGATGTCATTATTTCGTTAAAAAATTAATCATATGCATTGCGCATGGCATTTTTAAGTTATAAAAAATTTAAAAATACTCATCTCTTCCGATAATGTTCTTATATACACACACACACACACTTTTGTCACATTTAATTAGTTTTTTTAGCTATTTTTTATTCAGTTGTAGATGAATACTTTAGTTTTTTCAACATTCAAGTCCTTATTGTACCAAAATTGAATGCTAAGAAGGTTTAGAACATATAGGGAGCTATATACTCTATATGCATATACCATAAGAGTATTTTTTGCCCGTAACCCTATATTATGTATATAAAAAGTTATTTCACATTATAATTAATTTTTTATTTAGTTATAAAGAGATATTTTAATCTTTCCAGCATTTATGTCTTTGTTTGTTCCAAAATTAAATGGTAAGAACTTTTTAAAACGTACATTGGGTTATACACTCTATATGTATAAATATGAGTAACCCTTATGAGAATATTTTTTTTGGACAATCAGTCGTACATTTATATCAAATGATATTTTTCTATTTTTGTGATGAAGTTGAGGATATTTTATTGTTAAGATGTTTTTGCACCTTTAAGAGATTTTTTTCCCATATATCATATTTATTTATATTTATATCTTACAGAAATTCAAAATTCTCAATTGCCCCTTTATAATTTAATTCAATAATTTAGTATGTACTCCACAAGCACTTCTTATATTCAATAGTTTAACATCACCCATGCATAAACTGTCACACCTTCTTATCAACCAAAGCATAGAGAATGAATCCGGCCCGTACGAGTTGTTCCCATCTCTCAATATCATAGATGACCACACTAGAGGTTGAAGTAAAATGTGTGCTATCCTGAGATAACAAAGAATGCACTCTAAGGGCCGGGTTGAGGCAGAGAGAACAACAACTAAGGTAGAAGGGTGTCAATTGCCGAAAAGACAGTGTCAATTGCTGAAAAGACAACTATATCCCAAACAACTATAGTTTGGATTGAAAACAAAACTTCCTAATGGAACAAATATTCTCGAGAGTGGCAGACCTAACCCTTACGGATTCAGACACAGGCTTGGAGAGTAGACCTTGTGAAGAATAATAAAACCTTTCTACCAATAAATGCTAAGAAGATACAGTAAAACATAGCATATGTAGGGTACGCGGGATGGAGGAGGAAAAGGTGAAGCATATGCTAATGAGACTCCTGCATATTATCAGCATTGAGAATAGAGATCAATGCAGAGAACGATGTGTCCTAGTCTCCTAGATGGACTGGTGGAGAAGGTTACTGGCAAATGGGACAAGGATGAGGATGTGAATGGAGAGCATGTGTTGGGTATAGAATCATTTACATGAGGGGACTTGTGGAAGGCCCACAATGAAATGGTTTTAATCGGAAAAATGTCGGAAGCAAAGGAGATAACTAATAAAGCTGTTAAGTCAATTCTTCGGCCACGTGGAGATGGTAGACCTCTAGGGAATGGAAGCAAAAATACTTTACCTACAGAGAAGCAGTGCTTCCTCATACTTTTTACGCCTAATTTTTAACATTGCACCAAGCAATGGCTATTGCCCAATGACACGACCCCTTGTACTCTTCCACATGGTCTAACTCCTATATAGAACAGGAAACAAGCTAAACAGTTCGATAATCACAATTTATGTGCCAGATACAGAAAACACGTGAAGCCGGACAAAGATAATATGGACAGTAACAAGGTTTATACAGTTGATTATATAAATACTTGGCTAGATTTTTTTCAAGTACTGTCGCCTTATAACTTTACAATTAAGGAGGTGGAAAGTTAAAATGTTAACCTCAACACTGAAAATGGAAATAAAGTGTCATTTTGGTTTTGCCAGCTCAATCATACAATCCCTCATGTTCCCAGACTTCAACAAGAAAATCTACCATTTCCTGTCGGTTAGAAAAAAAAATAACTAAATAAAATCTTCAGGAACCGTTAACCAGCATAAAACAATAGTTTACAAGAAGAAGAATCCAGTACTAGATCAGACTTACTGGGAGAAGGATGGGCTGGGGAAAAGGCTTACTGGTCCCAAGTAAACTCTCATAGGTTGAGTCCCAACTGCAAAACATAACGGTTAAATCCTATGCATATATATATAGGAAGTGTTGAAGAAAGATGCAAGAAAACTTTAAGGCTTTCTACATTGGAAACAAATCAACTAATATAGGGGCTTTGCGGGATTTGGCTTCTCTAAATACTACTCCAAGAACTTCCATGAGATACCATACGGAAGGCTTTGAAGGAGCATTGATTCTCACAATAATATATTCGTAATTTGCACACTGAATTAACCAGATGACAAAGAAAATTAGCCACCTTAATCTGGGATCTTTAACTGGAGTACGATTTTGAGATTTCTTCTCTCCAATCCACTGCTGCCTTGCTTGATTCCAAAGGAGGAGACCTGCACCCAAGTAGTTTCAATTAGCTACATATGTCAGCATAAATAATGAGTAAATGAAGTAAAAAAATAAGGACTCAAAAGTCCAAAAAGTAATGCTAGATGAATGGATCACAACATCTCATATAGGAGCAACCTAGAAAGGTATTTCATGTGTCCTAGTGGTTTCAATCCACGCTTTAAATATATATCACTGTTATTCACAAAATATAATACTGAAGATCAATATATATCCATATTTCAGGAGTAACCCCAAGGTCAAATTGAGGAACTTTTGCTTGGAGGGGCAAGACTAGCATCAGTATAGAAACTAAAAAAAACTATAAATGACATATATATATATATATATATATTACAATAGGTATCTTAGTATATATTATTTATATAGAAGAAGAATTAAGACAAGATTATCTAATGAACTAAAATATTTCATAACCCCAATAAGCACATAAGAAGAAACGAGAGACAGGTTAAACTTGGGTTTTGACCTTTCCCTCAAAGTGAGGTCTAAAAGAGCCCAGGGTTGAGGTATTGATATCATTGGAGGGGCCATATGTTAAATTCTCGTGTTTACAAACTCGTTTCATAGGAAGGCTTAGGGTCTTGAATATTTTGAGGGAGCCCTCTTCATAGGTCTGCTAACGAGCAACCTCATCATATTTTATGGAAATCATTTTCATAACTGTTCATGCTGTTAAACTAAGTGTGGACATCATGGTATTTCACTTTTGAATCAACTGCAACTCAGCAGTCTTGATAAGCTCCAAAAACGATGGTTTCCAGAACACCCCAATAAAACCATATAGACAAGATTATTAACCCTCTCGTTAATGGTGCAGGTATATATCATACAACCACAATGGGATCGATTGACTAAATTTGAACTTGCCTTGATTTACAAATTCAGCAGGGTTGCTTGTGCTGCCAGCAGCACTATGGGGATCAGGAACCTGGTTTGATGTGCTGATTGATGAGATGCTTCTCTGGGACTGGACTGCACTATTATCCATCTCACATGTGCTACTGCTCCAAAAATCCTCTGATATGCCAGTTCTGTTAACTTTTCGTCCTTGGATTTTCAATCCCTTTGATGGCTCATCCACAGCAATAATCAGTGGAGGCTTAGTACAACATCCAAGACAACCTCTGCTCTGTTGCAAATCAGGTTTGCAACCATAATAATGATTAGTACCATCCAATAATCCTCTATCTATGAACCAAAAATACATATGTCGACAGACGAAACAATATTATATGCACAATTTAATGAAAGAATTTAAACATTCTGCCTCTAGAGGTTTGCTTTTTTACCAAACTAAGCTAAGCCCCCAACTGCTCGGCATCAAAAAATAATAATAATAATCATAATTGTATCTAGCATTTGCACAGTACATTTATAATATCATCGACGAGATTTTTTAACAGAAATTTTAACAATTTTTATACAAAATAGAAAGACATATACAGTGAAAAACTGGACAATATTTAAAGATCGATGACATAAAATCCAAAATAAAGTTCCCGGCATCTATTTCTAAAACTTGTTTGTGCCAAATGGAACTCAGATTTACATTAACAATCTATAACAATCAGAATATGAAACTAATGGACCCCAGCAGGGTTATTGAATGCCACAAGGTTAAACCCTAGAAAGCATAAAGATGAATTTAAAATTCCAGTAGAAGCAAGCAGCATTAGATACAATTTTTATTTTTATCTTGCTGATCCAAAAAAAAACTAGCTGATTGCAATCCAATCGGTAAAATAAATTCCAAGGATTGACTAGCCCAGTTATCATTTCTCTTGAAACAGGCTTGTGTGAATTAACAATTAGATGATAACATATGCAAGTTAAAGGATTGCACTAGATTTTGGTATACAGTATAAACGTTGGTTAGCCTAGGTGAAAAGGAAACTATATAAAAATCAACAGAAAAAAATAAACAAATTGGACACACTTAACAGCTTGAGAAATTTGGTTACTGGAATTTTAAATAGTAACTGATCATAGTTTTGGTGAAAGTCATTGCTATGATTGAATGATAAAATGCTTGGCTGTCAAGTGTGAGATCACAGATTCAAGTCTGATAGAGTCACTTTGAGTAAATGAGTAGCTAAAATTCGGTCTCCATCAAGTGTAGTTCTCCCAGCACAAGGCATTGGTAAGACTAACACTGGGTGATAGCCTTTTCCTTAACTATATGGAGTTATATTAACGAACAGCCAATGAATAGGAAGGAGGAGGAATTAGAGTTTGGGATGAAAATTTAAAGGAACTAAAGATTTTCCTATTAAAATATATATATATATATATATTTTTGATAAATAATTTTCCTATCAAAATATAAAGCTAAGAGCTATAAAATATTAAGGGAAAAGAGGAAAAGGAAGAAGATTCTCACCCATAATTCAACCTAAGGATCAGTTGGACCACATCATGCGATCTCAAATTCTCAAAAGTAAACTTCCGTTAAATTAACTGAGTACAAAGATATTTATGGGACTACATTTGCAAACTATGATTCCGAAATAGGACGCTCCGAAACTTAGTATTAAGACCATTCTCGATCCAATATAAATAGGACATTAAAAGCCAATAACATAAACTGACGCAGAAGACCAATGAACTAAGCCCATGCCCAGAAATTCTTAAAATAAATAAATAAATAAACGTAGACTCTTAAAAGAATAAGACAACAGAAATAAAAATATAAATTTACTGCTGGTAAGAGTGCATAAGTAAGCCTCAAAGGAAACACACAGTACATGCCTTGGTATTTATTTTTATTACTCCTTTCTTCTTACAATACAATCACAAATTGAGTAAAGTCAAAAGATAGCAATCCGTTTTCCTTTTTACTTATCAGTGGCAAAAGATAGAAGTTTTATTAATCAAGTAATAAGGAAAAGCCTGCGAGTAACATCCTACAACACATGGTATCCAAAAAAAAAAATCTTCTCAATCACATGTCCGCAAACAGTGCAAGGCAATTTTCTCAACGAAAACTAGTTACCAAGATATTCAAAAAATATAAATATATGAAAATTATTAGGTAGTATATACTGACAGTCAACCTAGAATATAGAAAACTTATGTGCACGATCTCATAGGTAATCACATGGATTTATCCATGAATTTACCCAAGAAGCTGGTATGCCATAAATATCTATAATTCTATGACTTCTTATAACAAATGCACAGATAAAGGTTCTGTTAATCCAAGGAAAAGGCCAATGGTACAATAGTAAACACTTGATTGCCAAAAGAAGAATGTCTATTTTGGAATTTACCGAATATATATATATATATATATATATATATATATATATATATATATGTACATATATTTGGGGGGTTAACAATCTTTGATGATCTCGTCTATTTTGAAAAAATCTTCTAAAAGAAACAATCTCTCCAAATTTAAATAAAAAAATAAATTCCTTAGCATCATGCTATCATGTTTGCCAAATAAGTCTTTTGAATTCACAACACCATAAAATTAAACAAGGCAACAGCGCTATCAAACATTATTCAACTAGATCAACGTCCTCGTTATAGTAGACAAATACTTCATCATCATATTAGAGCTTAATTCACAACTCAATACAATTCCAATGTTTCAAGGGAATAAAATTCCAATAATTACACATCATGTTAAGAACTTCAAAAGCAATTACTATTATTTTTTAATAAAATCCAAGCAAAAGTATTCTTTCATTATTGATATCCAAACACAACCAAATGAACTATTATCAAATCTCTCCAGTTAGCAGTGGGAAGGGGAAATTTTTTTTCCTTTACCCCCTAAATCTACACTTTTATTATTAAAACCATATTAAAGCAAACAGTGCCTTAATGTCTCAAACCACCCCACCCCACCCCTTTAAAGGAAAATTTACAACTATGATTCTCTTACACTGAAAAGAGTCCTGCATTTAGCTTTCAACTGTTCCATAAGTGCACGAAAATAACCTCCAGTAAACCCGATAAAAGAACGACACGATCTATATACAGCATTTCTCCGGTTGATGGAACAGAAACAACAACACTTATAATGCATACCTTGTAGTATAACCTTTGATGCTAAAAAAGTAGTAGAATATGATATCAGACTCTTTGAGACGTCAAGCAAAGCAAAGCATAGCAAACCTTTAAAAAAAAATCAAAAAGCATCTCTTTTTCACCTACTATCACGCATTAGCTCGCTTACACTATAAGCAAACATAAGATTCCAAACTAATAAAAGGCAAGATTAAACTAAGCGAAAATTTAAAAGAAAAAAAGAAAGGAAAAAGAAAAAGAAACAAAAAAGTCTAATTGTGCTGGTGAAACCGAGAAAAGTAAAGAATATTAAAATATAAAAGTTATGCTCTGTATATTGTCATTCCCCATTAAAAGAATATATATATATATATATATATATATATATATATATATATAAATTCAATTTCTCGTTTATCCTAATATTTTCTCAGCAGCCAAACAGAGATTACAGCAAGAAAGAGAGAGAGAAGCAAAGGACTCACCCCATGCATGCAATGATATGACAGATCCAACAGGGAACTGATGTATGGAGTCGCATTTAACCACGGAAACAAATCGTCAAAGCACAGATCTCAATCGCAAAACGTCCAATCGATGAAGGAGTGAGCTCAATAACCTGCGAATCAGTGCATAAAACCAAAGCAATCTTCTTAACAACAATCAAAAACTCCGTTTTGTGAGAGAAATCAAATAAAAATAACTCCGATCTCAAATTTTCCTCCCTTTGACAGACTTGTTCACACTCTGGAAACAAAACAAAAAACATAAAGCATAGTATTCGGTTTTCTTTTTCCTTCTTTTGTGCTTTCCTCAATTTTCTCGGCAACCAAACAATCCAGAGAGATAAAGGATGTTTATACCTGGTAAAGATCATATTGTTGTTGATTTTGGTTACCGATATTGAGTTTCGTGAAACTGATCGCCGTCTGTTTGCTGTTAGCAGTAACAAAATGAAAGTTTTCTGTTTTCAGCCGTTTCTCTGAAACAATCGGGAAAGGAATGACGAGAGAGAGAGAGAGTGTGCTTTGTAGTGAGAGAAAAGGTAGGTTGCAACTTGCAAAGCACCACAGCCACAGCCACAGCCACAGCCACAGCCACTTATTTAGGCCCCGTTTGGAAACTGGTTTATGTTCGATGTAACGTCGAACCAAAAAAAAACACTAAACTGACATCTTAAACAATGTTAGTTACTAACTCATATGACACTCCCACAGTTTGTCCGACAGCCGCGGTTAAAAATAATGCTATAAGAAGTTATTTATCTCAATGATTCTCGTATTTGTCACCAAGATTAGTAGTTTTTTTTTGTTTTTTTTTTTTATAATGCTTGTTTGGTTAGAATGATGAAAAAATTGGATAGAAGGAAATGAAAATGAGATGGATGAGGCATCTGTAGAGTCATTTTTTTATTTATTTTTTTTATTATTGAATAGAATGGATAGTAAATAAGATGGATGTGGTAACACATTTTTTTTTTTTTTTTTTTTTTTTGTTAAAAGGAAGAAAAAGATAATTCTATATTGTTTTTATTAATATACCCTAATTGTATAAAATTGTAAAATTATATATCCATTCAAAATTGTGCAACAAGGAGGTTAAAAATGAAAATTTAAAACTTGTTGGTTATTGTTATGTTCTCTCTCTCTCTCTCGTCTTTTCCCTAATTTTTGTAGAATAAAAAATTACAAATAAATGAGGGATGAAGCATCCTCCTTGCTTTATCCCTCCTTTCACTTCCTTTCAACTAAATACAAAAAGACTTCTTTCATTTCCCCTGTCATCCATCGCCGCTCAATCATTCCCTCCAATCAAACATAACATAAAATTTATTAATCATTCCCTTCAATCAAACATAACATAAAATTTATTTTCATTACACGACTTGAATTCCATATCTCAAATTGAGAGAGTAAAGGTGAAGATAAATTATACTTACCTTTTATAAGGATTGAACAAATTACGGTGGTCATTCAGTATTTATTAATTTGACTTGAGATTTACGCGCACCTTCAACATTTTATTTCTTATCAAACTATTGATCAAATTTATAAAGAATAATTTTTCCCTTTCCTCCATAAAATATAATATAATATAATATACTATTATAATATAACTGCGTCACTTATTTTTTACATTCAAAATTTTTTTTGATAGCCGACGAATGAATTTACGACATATAAAAATAATAAATGCTGAATAATCTGTGTATAATTTAGTCAAACTTTTAAAAAGGTCTGTAATTTATCTGATTTTGTTTTGGGTGACATTCCTTTTGAAGTTATCCCCTCCGAAATGTCGTTTAAAAACCCTGGGTCAGACTTCTTGTTATGTTTTTAATACACTTTCTCAACTTACATTGAAATTAATGGTAGAGTAAAATGATATTTCCTTCGTCCCTATTTAATTGTCCGCTTCGTAAACTATTAAAAAGGGACGGAGGGAGTATTAGTATAGAGGAGCTATGTTATTAAAATGAATCTGGGTTTTGGTGTTCACATTGATGCAGAGTGTTTTATTCAAGGTTAAGACACACACAGAGTGAACATTCCGAGTTGAAAAATTATACTATATATATAATATGTGTGTACATCTATATATAGATCTACATCCATAATCTATAAAACTTATGTTTGTGTCATTGCATTCATCCTAAACGCAAGGATCAACTCTAGAGGTCCTATTTTTGAATAAAAGGTCATAATTTAGCGTCTTTTCTCTACCTCTTAAATTCAAAGCTAAAAGGTCAGAAGTCCAGTCTTGCAAGGAACACGGTGAGACTTTCAGGGCACGACCGACATGACTAAAAGCGTGCGCATTAGCAAGATATAATGGCCGTATTGGCGTGGAAGGGTGGACATTTTTTTTAAAAAGGTGTTGTGTTATCGAATATACGTGGCATGATTCAGATACTCATTGGACACAAATATGCATAGGACACTATTAAAAGTGTGCTGAAATTTAAATATTTTATTTTTTAGTTGGACATTTCCGAGACATGAACATGGTTAGATGATGAAGTGATATTGTATTTTTTATTCTTAAAAAATTGAGATTCAATACACCTAAAGTTATTATGAGTTAATTGAAAAATAATATAAAATTTTAAAAAACAAAAGCAACAATTAATTACATGGATAAAATGAGGAGAAAAAACTTTTTAAAATACAATAATATATGGTATTATTAATTTTTGACTTATCGTGTCTTTTTTTATTTTATTTTATAGAATTGCCCTTATTTTTTAATACTTTTCATGTCTTGTTCGTGGTGTACGCCCATACGATATCCATGCTTCTCGGCAAGGTGTAAATCAATAAGGTACTGTTTGATAAAACTGAAAATTAAGCACTGCAAATTTCAAGTACTAAATTTTAAGCGATGAAACTTTAAGCACTGAATGTATTAATTTGAAAACTTGTTTGATAACGTTTTAATTTTAAGCGTTGAATTCATTAAGATTGTTTGTTATATACAAAAGCTGAAGTCTGAAACTTGTACATATTACATTTTTGCCCTTAATATATGATAATCATAACAGTTTTTGTAACACCCCCACATTTTCCACGCATAAGTTGATCAGGCTTATACACGAAAAACGAGGGATATCAAAAACAATTGGCAATATACAAGCATGGAATACAAAATGATGATAATAAAAGAATTTAGACAGGAAAGGAACACTAAATAATACAACATCCATCCATCCTTTATTTAAATACAGTACTCCATTACAACTTGGAAATCCTATGTCAAGGATCCCTAAATATAAACCTGAGAGTTCAACGTCAAAAGTAAATAAAAACTGAAGCTGAAGTAATACGTAAAACTTCTACCCTGAACTGGATCGTAAGAGTAGATGAGTTCGGATGGTGGTCCCACACTGCTAACCTCAACCTTGGAACGGGTACTGACCGTATCCTGAAATAACAACAATGGTGGGTCAACCCCACGAGCAAGTCCTCTCTACTATGACCCAAATCAGAGAATCAAATAAATTAATCATTATGAATCGGATGAGTACTATATTTGTATACATCCTACGGGAACTATCCGATGTATAACATGACCTCAACCAGAATAGACGGTGATCACTTAGACTCACACTAGGTGGTCAAGTGTCGCCTTTCCCTACCCGGGAAATCAGCTATTATACATGGTGCATGGTACTGACAACACAGACTATAACGAACTACACAGTGGTAACACCTCTCAAAGTACTGATGAATATACTGAGCATATCAATTAGGCAACACATGCCAACAATATTAATAAATATACCGAGTATGTCAATTAGGCAACACATGCCAATAATATTAAACCACATACCCCGACAGCCACACATTTGTCTATCGCAACGAATGCATAAGGTATAAATGAGTCTAAACTTATTAGCCAGCTCACATGGTTCTATATGGCAACTCATCCATATAATATAAATGTGACATAATTAAACAGTCCATTTATTTCCTGAAATGCACACAGCATAATAATCATGGTTTATATACGATTAACAGTATAAATATTCCATAATATATAATGGGTTATTTATATGAATAAAACCAAGCACTAATTAATTTAACATTAATGGTTATTACAGTTTAATAAAATAATACCATTAATAGTCGTTAAATTAATTACATATGTTTACTAGCGATTCGCACTTTAACTGATACAATTAATATTTAGAAATATTAATCGGACAATTATAATAGTTGACGAGAAATAAAATAATAATATAATGTCCCGTTAATTCTAAAAATGCCAACCCGAGGCCCCAAAATGTATAGTGAAGGTCCTGGTAATGACAAAACAGTCCCTAGGGGTATTCTGGACTTTTCCAGCAGCTGCAGAGGCCCTTCACGCGCCCCCACGCGCCTCTCAGAGCTCCCCACACGCGCCGCCAAGTTTTCCCACTCTCCCACGCGCCTCCACGCGCGTCTGGCATCAGCCACGCGCGCGCACGCGCTCCCACGCGCGTCTGGAGCGTTCCACGCGCGCGCACGCGCTGCCACGCACGCACTAATGGTATCTTGCTGACGCGGCGGCTCCTGATTCGGTGGTTGCATGGACTTGTTGTGGGTGCGCTACACTGGATAATTCTATCTTAGTTCTTCTAATCCAAGGGTCCTGGTTCGCGCGTGCACCATCTTATGGTGTATTGGACTACACCGAATCAATCTGCTGATTAGTTACTCATCTAACGGCCGGATATCCATGCGCACAGTAACTATAGTGCGCCGTATCACACCGGATTACTCCGGTCATCTCCCCCACTGCCGGCAACCGGAAAACTCGCCGGAAGGTCGCCGGAAATTGCAGAAAAGCCCCGAAAAAATCTAGAAAATTCTAGAAAAATCCCTAACGCCTTATTTAATTATTTTCGGCCATTATTAATTTCATATGATATTAAATAAATATATACCATCCTATATAATTAAAATTTCATTAATTTAATAAAATAACATTAATAATTTATTAACCTCCTAACCTTGGCTCTATGCATAAAAATAAACTAAACAATTAATTTATTAATTCAAAGGGGAAAAGTAGATAATAACTTGCCTTTTTTGAATTTAAAATAAATCCGCCGGTTGCGCGTAGTCGGGTAAATTCCCTACACCGGTCCAAGCTCCTTTCTTTCTCTCTCTTCCTTTCCACACTTTTACAATGGCTCACTAGAATTTATAATTTGTGTTTAACTCCCTTTCTTTCCTTCTAAGGTAGGCTAGCTAATTTATATACAAATTATATAATATAAATATTACAAATATCTATTTTTGTATTTAATTAACCACATTCCCAACCATATGGCTTTAAGTCTACCCATACACATTAATGAAATTCTATCCTAATCTCTAATTTCATCATGACATTGATTTTAATACTATTATTATTATTTTAACTATTATTATTATTATTACTAATATTATTATTAATAAACTTTTATAATAATTATTATTATTATTATTATTAAACTAATATAATTATTATTATTATTATTACAAAATAATACATTATATCATCATAATACTTTATAACACAAATATAATACTTTTAATTAACTAATAATGATTAATAT